TTCAATTTTTTTTATGAGAACATTATAAAGATCAACTTCACATTTTCGCTATATTTTTTCTGAAATCTACACATGAAAATATAAATAATACAAAACTGTAGTCCACTAAGCAAAAAATTATGAGCGCCAGCCCAATGGGAAATGCCAGTGTAGTGCCGATGTTCACCACTGGCTTAGTACTTAGACGATTGTTCGGCGTAGTCTAACCGAGCCTCGACAATTAGTGCTGGCGCAGTACAGAATTTTCGTTTCGCCAAAGCTTGGACAAGCCACGGCGGCAAGTGCTGGCTGAGTATAGAAAAATTCTTCACAACGCTCTTTGCCAACATTGCTTTTTTGACATAAACTTGAAAAAAATTATAAAAAAAGTTTATGAATGTTTATAAATATAAATTTATTGAAAAAATTAATATTTTACTTTTCAGTTGTTCATTTTTTATTTTTATTAAATTTAATAATAACAATTTAACATAATTGTCTAATTTTGTAAATAATAAATTATTTAAACAAATTAAAATTATAAACAAAATTTAAACTTTAAACTCAATAACAATTTGGTTCCTATTAAAATACTATTATACTTCTTACTATGAATAAAAAATTTTTAAAAAATTACCACGTAATTTAAGAATGACGTAAAATGTTAAATGCAATAAGTAAAGTAATTTAATTTAATTATTAAAAATTTAGTTTAATTTATTATTTCTAACGTATCCCTATTTTCTTCTCATCTTTGACTCAATAATTGTATGTCTGAATGATACTGAGATGTTAATACTTTACTGTACACATGTGTCGTTAGCGTAGTGGTTAGAGCGTTAGTCTGTTAGTCCGTAGGTCATAGGTTCGATTCCACTCGTCAGCAATTTTGTTTATTTTCATAGGTTTGCGATATTTCTAGATTCCAATCGTTAGGTACTAAAATATAAAAATCTAATGCACACTTACTGTAATATTTATTATTTAATTTTTAAATGTTATAAACAATTTTTCTCTACTTCATTTACTATATCCATTGTTAGTCTCCATCTTTAATACAATTTCTTTAAGAAGAGAAATATTTTATGAATAATAACTTTTTATTAATATTATTTACCATTTTGTTGTTGAATTATTTATAATTATTAATTTACGACTAATTAATAACAGTACGGCACTTATTGCGGCAATATTCTCAGCCAGCACTGGTCCAGTGCTGCGCCAGCGCTCTCTGGCAGTACTTCGCCAGCGTTAGACAGCGTTATCATCCCAGAGTTATGCCAGTGCTGTCTGTCAGCGTAGCTGCCAGTACTGCCAGTGCTGGCGCAGTACTCCGACAGTTGTAAATTTCCCATTGGGAGGGGGGAAGTAAAATATTTTTTTTACTAAATCGTAAAAAATTTCTAGTTTTTCGCTGAAAATATATGTGACCTAAACAGTGAAAAGGGTGAAAAGGGACCTTATGTGCGAAAACCAGTTTTCGAGAAAACAGCAGTTAAAGTTTAAGATAGAAAAACCCTTGTAACTTTTTGAAATATTAATATTTTTTAATTAATTTAGGCTTATTTACTTCACCGTGGATCACAGTATCAAAATAAAAAACATACAAGTAATGAAAAAATTTTTTTAATAATTATTTATATAAATTAATAACAAACTCCCCAAACATAGAAAAAATAATCTAAGTTTTCTAACTAACAACAATAAGTATAAATAAGTGACACATGTTTGTAATGGTTTTCGAGGCCGCTGATTATGAATATGATGTTAAATTGACAATTTGACAGTTGACAGCTGTCAAATTCTCTAAAAAGTAATCGTTTTTTCTTTTTTGTAAAAAAGACAGTAATAAGGTTTTTGAGGTCGCTGATTACGAATATGATATTAAATTTGAATTTGAACTGTTGACAGTTGTCAAAGAAATTGCCAACTTTTTTAAATAATAAAAAATTATCGTCTTTGTTATTTTAATTTGTATAATAACAAAAAATCAGTTTTTCCGTATTTTTACTCCGATCTTGTTTCTCTTGACTTTAAAAAAAATTTTTAAAAAACTTCTAATTAACTTATGACTTTTTGGTTTGCGTTTCAAACTCTATCCGAATCAACAAAAAAGTAAAAAAATGATTTTTTGACACGTAAGGTCCCTTTTCATAGACTAGGTCACATATAAAAATTCAAAATTTTTTTTAACTTCTTGTCATATGTAACAATATCTAAAAGTTTATTTTTGCAATAACTATTTTTTTTTATTGTTTATACTCCTGCCCTATTGGCCTTACGCACTTCGACAAGAGTCCCCGAGAAATACTTTTTTTGGATTAAGCATAACCATTCTACTTTAGAAATTTTTCTAGATATTAACCTAATTTTGCGTCTACAGCCGACTTTATTTGAAGTACTCGCATTACGCCTGGACCACCCGTCAATGGGTTTTCTCGCCAGAGAAGAGGGAAACTGTAGAGAACCTCTCTGAGTACAACCGGTTTATCGACAGTCGAGTTCTAATGGTGTGTACCGGACAATAATCGACGGTGCACATCATTATACCTCGACGTCAAACCTCCCGCTCAGATTGTCTCACGTGCCGGAAAAATACCAAGCCAAGTGGGCGCGAACCAAGGGTACTTATACCCTTGGTCCTTAAACGACCACCAACGCCAGGCATCTATCCGACTGAGCCAATCTGTCGGTATTTTTGCAATAACTATAATACATTTCTTACAATAAGAGTATAAAAGAATGTGCTTTTTTACTAATTCTGCACCAGAAAGTCCCCTTAACTGCATTTATCAAACTAATTGTTGATTCACATTTAACAAAGTTCCTAATTGTCAAAATTCTCATTTAGGGTCATTTGGGGTAAATGTAAACAAGGGGTAAATGTAAACAGCAGATGTTTCAGCTAAATTTACAAATTAAAAAATAAGTACGACGTCAATATTTTTACCTCAGCTCACCTACAAGATGTTCTGAGTATTGCCAATATTTGATTTTGACAATTGGCAATGCCATAGTGTAATTTATCTTTTAATGCAAAAAAGATTGAAAATCAAAGTTTTACTGTTTCAGTATTTTGTCTCGCATTTGCATAAAAATAAATTTAAAAATCAAACAAAAATATGTAATTCTTCCTTATTAATGCCCTAACAAAAATTAACTTTGATTTTTGATTTTCGTCAATTCAGTTAATAAATAATTAAGTGTTTACATTTACCCCGAGAATTCGAAAACTCGGGGTAAATGTAAACAGAAATTCAACTACATTTTAAAAGAAAATAATTGAATAAACTTGCTTTTATTTCACAATTTCATTACTTTGGCAATGTAAAATTACATAGAAAAGGAAAAAAAATTTAAAATTTAAAATTTGACGTCAAATTCGTATTCAGCGACCTCAAAAACCCCCTAGTAGCCAGATTCAAGCAAATTTGATCAATTTTTAAAAATATTATTTTTAGGTTCATCCGCCATATTGGACCCACCATTTTGAAATTTAAAAATTCGATTTTAGATTCTTATTCAGCAACCTTAAAAACTTCTTTTTACCAAGTTGAATGAGAATCTATTAAAATTTGTTCAAGTTATTCAAGTTTTTACATTACTAATTTTGTAATGGTTGATTGTTTATTTTATATGATAACATGATACATTATCAGTCAACTGGTTGATTTACTATACATCTACGAAGAATTTTTTTTCAGTTTTTCTATCCCTTAAAACAGTAGTATACTTGAAAAAACTTGTTTCTTAAACCTCGCTTAACTACAGTGGTGTTTACATTTACCCCGAATTTTAGGAAAATTTCAAAATCTTGGGGTAAATGTAAACAGTCAGTTTTAGGCGATTCAGGTGCATCAATAATGATAGTAAGTAACCAGTCACTGATTCAAATAGTAGGGGAACATAGTCAAGGTCGGCCCACCTTCTGACTTGTGTGTATAACTTTTTTTTAAAAATGGATTTGGTCAATTTCAAGTATATGGTTAGAAAGTCCTGTGTAATAGAAACACTTTTGCTGAACAGGGTAAATTGATTAGTTTTAAAATGAAAAAGTGATAATGATTTCAAAAAAAAAATAATATGTATGTGAATAATATGTATGTGAAGGTTGGCCCTTATGATCTAGGTCGGCCCATGTTTGAAAAGGCAAAAGTTTGTTTAAGGTACCCTTAAAAAATAAAATAACTTTTTTAGCGTTACAGAAAATGTATCCTTTATGGTTTACAACTTGTGAAGGGTTACAAATACAAGAAAATAATACGTTACTGAACGTTACAAAAAGTAACGCTAACTAACTTCAAACTAACTTAATGAAACAATAAACAAAATTTGTAGGATTCTATAATATTTTTCTATTATATAATGTAATGTATAATGTACATTATATATTATAATGTAACTTTTACTACTTTCATAGTAAAACTTAATCTGGCAGAAACTTCTGCGCATTTCTGGTAACTTTTACTACTTTCGGAGTAAATTTTGCTACGTTCGAAGCAAATTTTACTACGTTCAAATAACATATTTGTAAAAAATTTGTAAAATTTGCTTCGAACGTAGCAAAATTTACTCCGAAAGTAGTAAAAGTTACCAGAAATGCGCAGAAGTTTCTGCCAGTATTAAGTTTTACTATGAAAGTAGTGAAAGTTACTTTATATTTTTCTCCGTGTATTTATTTAATTTATTTACTAATAATTAGTAATTTTTTACTAATAATTGATTATATTTTTTACTTATTTCTGAAGCAACAAATCAACCACAGTTTTTCTAATAATTAATTATTTTTAACTAATTGAAATTGGTAGTTTGAGATAAATATATTATTCGGCACAAATAAATTATTTATTTAGACCACATCAGAGACAAATAAACTTTTTCTGTGGGTGTATTTATGTTGTATTCGTTTATTATATTAAGTAAGCTCATATGAATATTTATCCTATTTATAAAAAAAACTTTACACTTTTTACAGCGCTTTTTGCAAGAAATTAATAATCGGAAAATTTTCTTTTTTACAGTTGAACTTCATATGAACAGGTTGAAAGTGCATATCCAAGTCGGTTCGGTAGTTCGCTTCCCATGGAGTTCAAATTCTAATTCAATTTAAAACGTGCAGGCATTAATGGATCTTTCAAGTTAGTTAATATTAATTTTTATAATTGTTAAATGTTTTTTTATCTACATGAATTTACATTATTTACTTTTAAAATGTGCAGTCATTAATGGGACTTTCAAGTTAGTAATAATTAATTATAATTAATATTAATTTTTATAATTGTTAAGTATTTTTATTACCTATGTGAATTTACATTATTCACATTATCCTATTCGCAAACTATTATTAGAAAAAGTTGCAAACAATTATTATAAAATACGCAGAACTAGTGGAGTGAGAAGGAAAGTATTTATTTTAAGCTCTCTGCAGATCCTACAAGTAGGAGATATTTTAATTTTAATATAATACTATACTCAACTCGGGAGTATAGTGTTAAATATTAGTAGTAAAAAACAACTTTAGTCAGACAAATGTTTATCAGAGCAAAAAATTATAATTTTTTGCTCTGATAAACACTGTATTTTAAATAGAGTCCTCTCTAAATCCTACAATATAATTATATATCTAAATAAACAAATAAATTGAAAATATTAATGATTATTAATTATTAATATTCATATAATAATAATTAGTTATTTATTTATTATTATTTATTTATTTATTTAAGAAAATCAAGTTCCTAGGGCTTAAAGCCCTTCGAGGAACAAATACATATATATAAATAATTTTATTTCAGTAGATAACAATAAGTATATTATATTTTAAGTGGTATTTAATATAGCTGCGAAAAAAGTTGTAAAATTGGATATTGAAAAACATTTGACAAAGATAACAAATCTTTTAAAAAGTATATCAAAAAATAACAAAACTTTACCAATATGTTACATCAAACAAATTGTTGTTACATTTAAATAAGAAATCAAAAAATAATTTTTTAAATATGAATTGACTCGAAGCATCTCTAATGTTAGTTGGTAACTTATTCCAAAGTCTCACACATCTAATTATAAAAGATTTCTGCATCTTAGCGGTGCGATGGAAGGGTATTTTTAATACAGATTTTCTTTCTCGGAGTTTACTGCTAATTGATTCTTTATCATTCTTGAATTCAAGGAAATCATAAAGATACCCAGGAATTTTATTATTAATAACAGAGTAAAGTAAATTACCCATAAAATACTGTCTTCTGGTTGCAACATTTAATAAACCGGCTTTAATCCTATAATTCGAAATATGTTCACTTTTTGGTAAGTTATAAACAAAACGTATGCAAGCATTCAAAGATCTCTCCAGTTTAGAATTTAGTTCATCAGTAATATCATCATAAACTGGACAACAATAATCCAAAAATGGGAGGATAAGTGTCTTGACAAGTAGAAGACGAGTTTCAGTTGGGAAAGAGTCCTTGCTTCTATTAAGTTGTTGTAATACCATGTACGTATTACGAGTGATGCTGCCCACGTGGTCCTTCCATGATAAAGTACAATTTAATATTAATCCCAAGTCCTTCACTGTTTCTTTAAAGATAATTGGGTTATCTCTTACCATAAGGGGGGAGAACGTCACAGTTGCAGGGCTTCTCGATGATGATATTAGCATGGCCTGAGTCTTATCCGAGTTGAGAGTAAGTCCATTATCATAGGCTCACTGTACAACGTAATCAATATCGATTTGTATCCTTTTTAACAAGTCAGGGAGCCATGACAATGGACCAGACAAATAGAACTTAAAGTTATAGAATAGAACTTATTTATTATTATTAATTGGGTAAACATGAATTAGGTAATTAATTAATTACTTTACCGAAATTTAGTTTACAACTGTTTTCCATATCGCTTTTGAGATCAAAAGTATATAATAATTATAAACGCAAGCAATTTCACATATGAACACTTAATTAATTTGAAATTTGCCGGCTAAAATATATACATGTATATAGATTTGAATGTAAAATTCGTACAAACGTTGAAACTGACATAATCTCGCAGACCAACGAGCAACAGTTGGCTTCGCCTTTATCGAACCGATATGTATTCACATATAGTGCATATTCTAACCGTCGCGTCGTCGACGTGTATAGGAACTTATAGATTTTCATAGGAAATGCCCCTGGAAATATTCCCGAGAAATTCAATTGCGATGCAACTACTCGACTGGAACGACTTCCGCTTTTCACACACAGAAATACACCAATTTTTTTCTTTTTTCAACTTTTCTATTTTTATCTCCTGCCGCAAAACAATTTCTAAGTCATTTTTATTTGAAAACGGGAAAAAAAATTTTTCACATAACCATAACAATTTAATATGTTAACTAAATCTTTTACACTAAGAGAAAAAGATTTTTCCACATTATAGAGAGAGAGAGAAAGGAACTTTTTTTATTTTACGTATGACAAAACGTTTCTGAATTAAAAAAAAAATTTCAGTAGTCATTATCAGTTTCTTAAGTTTAAAAACTAATATTTTTTATCCGTGTAATAATTATTCCATTTTTTATAAAAAATTAAATTATTAAAAAAAATAAAAAATGACATAAAATTTACAACGTAAAATTATTACTATCGTAAAAATTGTTAATTTTTAGTCAAACTACTGCAATATAAATATTTTTAAATAAATATAAGTAGCGAAATTTAATTTTAGTAAAAAATCCGTTTAATTTATGTTTATTTAACATAAGTGAAAGTAGTCCAAGTCGACTTTAGTCAGACGAAACATACAATTCTTGAGTTTTGAGGATCTAATGTTAAGAATATAGTTTTAGTCTTTAAAAATTTTTTTTAAATCCATTGCGTAAATTTAGTACTACAGTGTTAAAAACAAGTTTTAATTCGATATTTTTTTACAATTTGTAAGAGGGTAAGACTCCGTCAGAAAAAAAGCGATTTGCAAGTGGTCTTTCGATTTCTTTGAAACCTTGGGAAATAAAAGTCTTATGTATGAGTTAAATTTAACACTAACAGGATTTTGAAAAATTTTCAAAATGGCGGCCGCTACGCTATATTGAAAATGAGTGTTGCGTTTTTTTCAAAAATTAATATCTCTAAAACTTTTTGATCAATTTTAATAAAATTTACAGGCGAAATAGTTAAAAATACGTTGAACAACACTATCAATTCACTTTTGTTTGTTTAGTTTGTTTTCACAGTTTTATAAAAAGTTTATTTTTTGATAGTTATTTATTGATAGGTTGGCGAAAGGATTAGCAATGATAAGATTCACTTCACATTAAAGTTTAATATATTTCACAATTTAATAATTCGAAAGTAATACAAATATTTATTCAATTTACAGTTAATGTTTAAATTTCAATGAAAAGCACTCCACATGTTTTCCTTAAAATTACAATAATTAATTAATAAAGTTCAAATTAAAAGTCTGTTGTTTCGTGTGCGAAGTTATATCGAGTACTGATAATATTTTCTTTCTTATTTTCTGGCTTCGTCTATGATTCATTCACACCTCGATAATTAGATTTTAATTGCCCTCACACATTCGTCAATTTATAATAATATACATTTTGGTCTCTCAATTTATTATTCGCATTGCGACATACGTAGTTTAATTTTATATTATAACCAAAACAAAATTTTCACAATTTGTCAAAAAAAATTTTTGAGTTAATTTTTAGTTCAGTTGGCCTAATTTTTGAATTTTCTAATAAGTACCTAAATATCAATTCCTTGTAATTTCACCTTTCATTTCATGAAAAAAAAAATTATGGAGACTCTAATAGTTATCGAGATATGCGATTTTAGTGGGAGCGCGTACCGCGGAAGTATACTCCGTAGCAAGGCGGAATATGAACCGAGCGGACAAACATGCACAAACCTGCACAGGCGTCTTCACACAGCGAGTATATTGCATAACGCAGCTTTGTTTGTATTTATTTCTTAATTCTCATGGAAAATAGTTAATATTGAAAAGTGCTATGTGATTGTAATATTTTTTTTATATTATTTTTGTACCTATTATTTTTCATTTTTATTAACTCAGTGTTTTTTGTATCTATAGTTCTTAAGTTTTTTTGTTTGTCTTTCTGAGTGTTTCTTTCATTATTCTTTTTATTTAGTTGTAATAAGTAGTTTTAGATAGTGTTTAAGTTTAAGTTCGACTAGAGTAATAATTTTTTCATTACAATGCCAAGGTACTTTTCAAAACTACAACATTTCAAAACTAATAAAGAAACTCTCCGTCCTGTTACAAAATAAATTATTGAAAGATTTTCAATTAATAGCAATCAATTTATCTGTAATACTTGTCGCCTTCAAATAAATAAAGAATCAAAATCTTCAACCCTCACCCAGAAACAAGATGTATTTAATTCTGTGGAAAATATATGCGATGAAATAATTGAAGAAGAGTTCTTTCAGCCTGATGACTCGGATAAAAATGTAATGGAAAACATGAGTTTTAATTACGAACGAGAAAAGGACATTGGAAAATTAAATGAAATTTTACAGATTTTACATATTTTGCCAATTGTTCCCAGATAGCACGCAAGCTTTCTGCAAGTTTGCAGCAAGCTTGAAATGTCTGGACTGCTGCAAACTTGCACTGCAAGCTTGCACAGCAAGTTTGTGGAAAGTTTGCACAGCAAGCTTGCTGCAATCTTGCTGCAAAGTTGCAAATTTTTATATATATTCATAAAAAATTCTGCTTTTTGTACCTTTTTAAAATTCAATAAAATTAAAATTATTTGCAAAAAAAGATTAAAAAAACATAATTTTTTATGCATACAAAAAAATTTTGCAACTTTGCAGCAAGGTTGCAGCAAGTTTGCTGAAAGCGTTCTACAAACTTGCTGTGCAAACTTTCTGCAAGCTTGCAGTGCAAGTTTGCAGCAGTCCAGACATTTCAAGCTTGCTGCAAACTTGCAGAAAGCTTGCACTGCAATCTTGCAAAACTTGCAGTGCAAGTTTGCAGCAAGCTTGCGTGCTATCTGGGTTATACTAGCAAAGACCTTCGAACGCAACGGGAACAAAAACAAAAGGTAAGTAAAATTCGGGAGGATTTTGAAAATAAATTTAAAAAAGTATTTCAAGCGGAAAATAATAAAAATGATTTTGTAGAATTTATTGATGAAATTAAAGAGGAGTTAAAAAAGAACCCTAGTAAATCTCGAAAAATAGAAATCTTAACTATGTTTCCAGAGAGTTGGAGTATTCTTAAAATGG